CACATTCATGGTACTTTTCATTTATTACATACAATATATTTATATTACAAAATAGTACATGATAGCATAAAATACTTTTTAGTTACAAACAAAAATGACTAGACAGAGAGGTGAATGTTATAAATTACTTATATAACGACATAACAGGATATCTTACTTATTATCACATTCTCTTACATTTAACCATCTAATATTACTCTTTGTCGAGCATTAAGAATATACTATCATACTCTTAATATTGTTGGTATTTTACTCGATGATTAATATACTTTTTTTAAAAAAAAAAAATTAAGTATATTAAATTTACTCTTGAACTCGTAACTAGCTCAATTGCTGATCTTTATAAAATGTTTCATTTTTATACGTTATTATAAAAGAGAATTTTAAAAAATGTATTTTTTTCAATTAACAAACTTGTTACGGCGAACAGAGGGTTAACGTTTGTTAATTTAAACATCTTATTGTATTTTACAAGTTGCAAATGTCAAAGATCCGCATTCTAACTATTCAAGCTCCATAGAAAATTAAATCGGTGGAATAACGAAGCTTTGAAATTTTCTTTATCGTATAAAAAGCGCATATCGTGTGATCCAAGGTATGTATTCCGAGACTCGTGTATATATACCAGGAAGTCGTGCTCGGGCGCATCCTATTCCCCACGAGATTACACCTACGACCATCATACTGCCGCCCGGATGACTTCCAATCATCAAAGGTCCGCCGCTGTCAGACTGAAACGAACGTTAAGCGTTTCGATCTCTTTTACAAAAAATTGCTCCGACATATAATTTTTTTTAATGGTATAATTTAGGTATCCATAAATTTCTGAACTGATAATAGATAAATAGATAAATAGATCATAGCGCCACAATGTCATCGTGTTTTAAAATTTTTAACGCACCAGGAAAGGTATTTATTTAACATTATTATTAGGGGACATTGAATAATAAAATTTCTCACATCAACATTTATGCATCACCAGACACACGTAGACGTATTATGTATGCTATACTGAGCAGTGGAAAAAAAGTGCCGACGAAAAATTAATACTGTACAAATTATCATGATTTGGACCATTTATGTTAATAAATACACGATATTAAGAATTTCGTGTCCGGTATGATATCTTCTAAAATTTCCGTTTATACAGAGTGAGACACACGAGAATCAAGTGGTTTTGGAAGCGATATTATTCTCTCGTTATACGGGGCATTCCAAAATTATGGTACTTTCGGGGAATGAGGGGTTCCTGAGATCATTCGAAGTAACCTTTTCCTTAACGAAATTGCAATCTGCAGTTTCGTTTACAAGTTATTAACGAAAAACAGTGAGACCAATGAGGGGCGAGCTATGGATACCCTATAGAAAGGAGGGGCGTGCGCTGGGTGATATTGTATTTGATGATATTATATTTCACTGTCAGTCATCATCATGGAGCTGTAGACGCTAGAACATCGGATGTTTGCGTACGATTGTTTTGTTAAAAATAACGAATCGCAGTTTAACGTATGTTAGTTCATCGAAACGACTCTGTTCCTTCCCTTTGTGTCAAGGGAAATGGTCGTCACATGCCAGATTTAATTTTCCGAATGTGAATAATAATGAAAAATGCTATGTACTTACAAAGATTTTTTAACCAACAGATTTCTTCTATACAGCAGAATCTAAAAATTTTATAATTATTCCAAAACCACTCGGTTTCCGTGCATCACCCTGTATTTCATCTTACTTACATAATACATAGACACCCTCAAGTGCCTTGGTCACCTAATCGGTGCATAAATAGGTTTCAAGCTTTGACAATTAAGCTGATTGCACGAACTAGTATTTTGAAAACGAAAGAACGTTCGATAAATAACAGGTCGATTTTATGATATCTTTGTCAGAGAAAATATTGTTAAAGAAAATTCAGAAACAGATTGTCCGATTGCCAGCGCAAGTTGACGTAATTGTTACCGTGGTGATAGTGCCTTGGTCACCTAATCGGTGCATAAATAGGTTTCAAGCTTCGACAATTAAGCTGACTGCACAAACTAGTATTTTGAAAACGAAAGAACGTTCGATAAATAACAGGTCGATTTTATGATATCTTTGTCAGAGAAAATATTGTTAAAGAAAATTCAGAAACAGATTGTCCGATTGCCAGCGCAAGTTGACGTAATAGTTACCGGCCCCTTATTTGCGCCACTCTGCATTGTTTACTCGATAGTCATGACCAACTAAACACGGGACTCGTAGATCGTCGGAATTGTTCAACGTAGCAGAAGATCTCTCAAATGGTCCGCGAACGGAATCGCAAATAAGCGGATAAAACGTGTCGAGTCGGAAACGCATTCGTATTCGTAGAATATCCTTCTCCCCCGATAATTACGTTAGTTCGGGATCGTCGTGTTTCGCCGATATATATATATATATATTTTTTTTTTTCGATGGTTTTCACGGTATCGCGTAGGTGTTTTTCTCTTCTTTCACTTCTTTTTTATTTTTTCGTATTCCACATTGTTTCGTGGTCGAACAATTTGGTCCGCGAGCGAGAGAACCACCCTCTCCGCGGATTCCCTGTTAATTCAACGTATGCGCGGCGGTCTACGCGACCGCGGATATTTATTGAAATTCATGTCGCGGTCGTTCGACGGCGCGTGAATTTCGTGTATGAACGATTGACATGCAATGGCGGCGCTAACTAGCGACATATGAATGGAGGAAGGAGAGGACGGATTGATACAGGGTGTGGGGGTGACAACAGGTATATGCGTTAAATTGTAACAATACGCGCCGGTGGACAATGTAACCCTGACAACATGTTTCAAGGCCAACAAAATCGTTAAAGTAAAGAAAAATATTTGTTGCCTTGTGACATTTTGACGAGATATTTGGAAGGGCTTAATATCAAAATATTGAAGAAGAACGAATTTCTTGCCTTCTTGTCGGCGATTAAGTTTCGCAATAGAGCATATTCAATGGAAAAAAGCAGCGAAAACGTATTATGTTCAAATATACAAAAACATACTGAATTTGGATGGTCCAGATGGATATATGTATTAGGTTGGAAATTATGAAACGAATGATGTAAGTTGAATGATGTAAATCGCGTTTTGTTTCCATCTAGTTTCGGAGAAAAATAACATAAAAATGGGACACAAACACGAACAAAATTGTACGAAATAAGAAGAAGAAGGATACCTTTAAAATTGATAAATAAAAATATCGAGCGCACGTTGCGATGAACACAGTCGCAGCTGAACGCAGACTAAACAAACAGACTAAAACTTGGCTGTAGATCTAAGTATACCTATAGTATTACTTAGTATACCTTAGTATACTATATTGTAGATCTTAGTATACCTATAGTATTACTTAGTATACCTTAGTATACTATATTGTAGATCTTAGTATNCAACTAAACACGGGACTCGTAGATCGTCGGAATTGTTCAACGTAGCAGAAGATCTCTCAAATGGTCCGCGAACGGAATCGCAAATAAGCGGATAAAACGTGTCGAGTCGGAAACGCATTCGTATTCGTAGAATATCCTTCTCCCCCGATAATTACGTTAGTTCGGGATCGTCGTGTTTCGCCGATATATATATATATATATTTTTTTTTTTCGATGGTTTTCACGGTATCGCGTAGGTGTTTTTCTCTTCTTTCACTTCTTTTTTATTTTTTCGTATTCCACATTGTTTCGTGGTCGAACAATTTGGTCCGCGAGCGAGAGAACCACCCTCTCCGCGGATTCCCTGTTAATTCAACGTATGCGCGGCGGTCTACGCGACCGCGGATATTTATTGAAATTCATGTCGCGGTCGTTCGACGGCGCGTGAATTTCGTGTATGAACGATTGACATGCAATGGCGGCGCTAACTAGCGACATATGAATGGAGGAAGGAGAGGACGGATTGATACAGGGTGTGGGGGTGACAACAGGTATATGCGTTAAATTGTAACAATACGCGCCGGTGGACAATGTAACCCTGACAACATGTTTCAAGGCCAACAAAATCGTTAAAGTAAAGAAAAATATTTGTTGCCTTGTGACATTTTGACGAGATATTTGGAAGGGCTTAATATCAAAATATTGAAGAAGAACGAATTTCTTGCCTTCTTGTCGGCGATTAAGTTTCGCAATAGAGCATATTCAATGGAAAAAAGCAGCGAAAACGTATTATGTTCAAATATACAAAAACATACTGAATTTGGATGGTCCAGATGGATATATGTATTAGGTTGGAAATTATGAAACGAATGATGTAAGTTGAATGATGTAAATCGCGTTTTGTTTCCATCTAGTTTCGGAGAAAAATAACATAAAAATGGGACACAAACACGAACAAAATTGTACGAAATAAGAAGAAGAAGGATACCTTTAAAATTGATAAATAAAAATATCGAGCGCACGTTGCGATGAACACAGTCGCAGCTGAACGCAGACTAAACAAACAGACTAAAACTTGGCTGTAGATCTAAGTATACCTATAGTATTACTTAGTATACCTTAGTATACCATATTGTAGATCTTAGTATACCTATAGTATTACTTAGTATACCTTAGTATACCATATTGTAGATCTTAGTATACCTATAGTATTACTTAGTATACCTTAGTATACCATATTGTAGATCTTAGTATACCTATAGTATTACTTAGTATACCTTAGTATACCATATTGTAGATCTTAGTATACCTATAGTATTACTTAGTATACCTTAGTATACCATATTGTAGATCTTAGTATACCTATAGTATTACTTAGTATACCTTAGTATACCATATTGTAGATCTTAGTATACCTATAGTATTACTTAGTATACCTTAGTATACCATATTGTAGATCTTAGTATACCTATAGTATTACTTAGTATACCTTAGTATACCATATTGTAGATCTTAGTATACCTATAGTATTACTTAGTATACCTTAGTATACCATATTGTAGATCTTAGTATACCTATAGTATTACTTAGTATACCTTAGTATACTATGTTGTAGATCTTAGTCTACCTACAGTATTACTTAGTATACCTTAGTATACTATATTGTAGATCTTAGTATATAAAGGTTGCCATTTTTTAAACTGTCGAATATTAAATTAAATATTAAATTAAATATTAAAACCACTGTGACTGGTCAGCTAGAGGTTTTGGTAACATAAACGCTTCTTTGCATTTCGCTAATTTGCACACGCCACGAATGCATAAAGACCCGCGGTCTGCTCGTTACTTTTATAAACTTATCTCGTAGACACTGGGAAAGAAACAAATGATACCAGCGATGAAATTCACTTACCCAGCAAGAGTCCCGACCGCCCGCTTCATGGCCGGCGCACATTTGCTTCGGCTCCACGCGTGCCGACTTGTTCTGGCTGGCGTACCATTCACGACAAACCTGATTCTCAATCACGCGAACGTCCACTTTCTGCAGCACGTCTGCTCGTTTATCTGCAAGATAGTGGTGAACGGTTACACGTTTTTTTTTTTATTTTTAGCCCATGATATCCGAGAAGTCTGCACGATCCAAACTGTTCTAATTGTTGAAAAAGGGATGTACACGCGGGGAATGAAATAAGGCAGACGTCGCAATTTCCGCGCCTTTGGATTAAAAACGTATGGAAAAAGTAAAGTGTTACATATAAATTGATGATCTATTTTTTATTATGTTTACCTATCGATATGTGAAAGAATCGGGGTGAAGTATAATATTACATTTTTCAATTGATGCTGCAGCAGTTGTGAGGAGTTTAACTAGTACGTCTTGTTAAAAATTGTAAGAAACGCTTGCTGATGATTTATCTCGCACAAAACGCATATTATGTCGTAAGAAGGTTTAAAAAAGAAAACCACTAATATAATATAAATCAGTATTTCAGTGCCCTCTTGTATTAGATCACGTAATCTAATTCAATCTCATTTTCATTCGAAATAATATTATGAGAAAAGAAAAACAGATCAGAAACGTCATTATAAAAAGCGCAATATATGTATGTATACTTGCAGGAGATATCTATAAGGTGGAAATAAGGGGCACAGAAGCATGGAAAGACACGGAAAGATGGAAAGGCACAGAAATACGGGGACGGAATCATGTGCAGAGTTTCTTTCTGGAAGGGCACGGAATTATAGTGAGAAACACGTTTTTCTATTTCATTAAAAACATGATTAAGTTGCTGATTTTTCTCATGTTGCTTCGCAACAAGAATTATAGCGAATCTAGAAGCATTCGAGATTTCTCGGCGAGATTCGATTTTCCGGGAAACGTCTTTTGGACAGAAGTTAAATTTGAACGCTAGCCCTAGTTACTGCGAGTCGACCAAGTAAAGCAGGAACTTTTGCAGAATGCAATTCCGACAGCGAATTCGGTTAGATAGTCCCCGGGCCCATTGCAGCAAAAGTTTACGGTACATGTTGATAACTTCACCGTGTCTTTACTTATTCACTTGAACGGCAACGATCCTGTCGTTAATAAAGCAAACTGCGCAAGAAACGTCCTAACTTCCCCTTATCTCTCTTTAATCCAATTTACTTTCCGTCTGTCCAACTTGTGCGGAGAAGCCTTTGTGAACATCGACGGACGTTCTGTTTTAAAACCGTCCAATTAATTTGGACGAATCGAGAGCCGAATAATCGATGTCCTCTCTTTCGCAGTTTAATACGGGGGAAATTCAGACAAAGGAAAATGTGTCGAAATTCTTCGGTCTATCTTGACTGGATAATTAACAGTTTATAATACTATCGTTGTGTTTAGCCTTAATTAGGTACTTTCTTCGAGCTTCCCGTGTTCGCCTGAGTGCTCGGAACAATAGTACCTCATGGGTGATGTGGAAATCTATCGACACAAGTGCCACCTTAATGCGCCACCAGTAGTTAATTAAATCGCCAGCAATTCCGATCCAAATTCGCAACGCTCCGAAATTCAAAAGGAAATATTTTCTTTTCGTTTTAATCGTGTCTCTGTTTTTATTTTTCAAATAACATATTTGAAAACTGAAACTACGTTCATTTATTCCTCTGAAAATTTGTAAACGTACCAACAGTTTGTCCAGCGCTGTGTAAACCATTTATCATCCGCTGTATGCAAAAGTTTGCTAATAATTATTCGAAAGTTTTCGAAGTATTATTCGAAATATTCGAAAGAATAATTAGAAAGAAGAGTTTGCTTTTCCTTCCTTGAATGCACCCCCGTTCTTAATACCGTTAATATGCAGAAGGTCTTTTTTGACCGAATTTCATCGTCTCGTTAGAGCGCGGAAGGGGCAAACGATTCACGTTCCTCGGTGAAATTACTTTTGCAAAAGGGATCCGAGTATTATTTACTTACGTTGGGTCCTGTTTTCGCCAAGCCAACCCCATCCGGCCACCTTAGCTAGTTCCCCGCCGAAGGTACTGTGTCCTGGTTTCCCTGTGGCCACAGGTAAACAGGCGGGTTTCACGCTTTCCGACCAACTGATTGGCCGAGCGAGTTCCAGGAGGGCAATATCGTCTACGAATTTTCCGCATTTGTGGCCGGGGTGTAAAATAGCGTTCGTCACTCTCTCCTCCAACGACGGGGGCACTTCCGGTTCCCTCAGATTGTATTCCCCCAGACTGACTCGCAGCTGACCAATTGGCACCAAGGATGTGAATCTGTTTCGAATAAAAGATATTCTAGTTAACGACGCTATTCGATTAGGTTCGGTTTATTTCCTTTATTCCTTACTGCTGATTTGTATACCATGCGATTGTCGTATTCATAGTTGCGACCGAACCGCAGAATGAAAAGGTTTAAACAATATGGAATATTGATATATTTAATTATTTATTATATTATATTATAT